CTTCTCGACATGATGTTAACCACAAGGAAATTTTACTGTTTGTGGGCGGGCAAGTTGGCGACGTAGAACTTGGGCAGACATTATGCAAATGTGTTACTTCGTGACATAGAGCCGTAACAGAATACGATTCGAATTCCTGACGACTCGTTTAGGCTATTGCGAGCCGACTCTTTTTTTTGACAGACAATGGGCCTCATTCATGAAACATTCGTAAATATAGGAGTAAATTCTGAGTAATTTGCACGTAAAAATGCAGTAACCAGCAATATTAACTTCTCTGTTGTTGTTCAGTTGTTGTACAAGTAGGATGATTGGTCGGTGTAGTATTTGTCCCGCCCCTCCTCCACTGATTGGACGGCTGGGTAAAAAGTGACAGTGACAAGTGCTGCGGTTTACCCAAAGCTAAACAGTTTATCAACTCTCAGCTACAAGACGAAAAAAAAAAAGAGGGAGCAAACGAAATTGTCAAATATTATAATGGCAGTGCATCAAATTCAGTGTCATCAGTTTGCCAAAATGAACACAGAAGAACGTCAAAATACGAGCATTTTCATGAATTCGAAAGTTTACGTCAGAACGGCTTTACGAGCGATTTACACAAAAATTCGTTCTGCTTGTGTTTCATGAATGAGGCCCATTAACTTTATTTATCGTGCACTGTTGGCTTCACAACTTTGCAGATAGTTTATGTTCACATACAGACGCACTGCATGAAAGGTAATATTTGAAAAGGCATAATAGGGGCACTTTAACAAATTAAACCTTATTGTAAAGTGTTACCAATTTTTGTACTTTTGATTTTTTTTTTTTTTACTTTGTGCTGGTGTTTAATGAGTGGGTGATAATTTTTATAAAAACTTACAAAAGCTACATGTGTAATAAAAGACATATGCTATAAAAAGAGTTGCTCCATCAAAGAAAATTTTCAGTTGATAAGAGTATGCAAAATATAATCAAGCTCTATGGCTGTAAATTTTACAGACCAGCAGATGGCACAAATGATGCAAAGAGTGTTCTTGAGATAAACCACAAATTAGTGGTGTATTATGTTATGGTGTTATGGTATGGTATGGTATTGTGTTATGGTAAATTATAGTGCACAATGGGAACTGAGGCCTGTTCAGTGTCATCAAATTAGTTTTCTCCATATTTCATGTTAGGTGCAGTTACCATGCTTGTATAGTACAAAATCAAAATATAAAGTTTCTGCTAACTTAATTACTTCAAATAATTGATTACATCAAATTTTCTGCAATAGTTCTGTTAACTTATTAGGGTTTACAATTAAGGTTAGCTTAGTTCACACAAAAATGAAAATTCTGACATTTTGATTACTCACTCTCTAAACCCCTAAGGCTTTTGTACGTCTTCGAAACACAAGTAAAGATTTTCATGTTTTAATGAAACATGAGTGATTTCTGCTTCTCCTTTTTGAAAGGAGAAACTGTGATGCTTCAAAAAGTTCATAAAATATAATTGTAAATCACATGAATTGACTGGTTAAATCCAGAGTCTTGAAGAGACACAATCTCTATGAACAGATATGATGTCAATATGATAACAGATTATATTATATTATATTTATTTATTTTCAGCACATATACATAGAACATATCAAAAGTAATTAAAATCAATTAGTAAATGGAAGCTGAAACATCCTTGCTTGGCGTGCCAATGAGGTTTGTGCTTGTACATCAAGCAAGTATGATTGAGCTTACATGTAACTGATGAATTTTCATTTTTGGGTGAACTAACCCTTTAAAGTCTATATTTTGATTATGCAGTGTCAGTACCAATCAAGACCAACCTGACTGTAAATGAAGTAGGTACCCTCAGTCTCCACTGTTACAGTATCAGCTGACACCTGAAGCCCCTCCCCTCTGCTCTGCCCTACGGCCCAAGACAGAACAGTGGTGTCATGATCATCTGAGAAAAACACAGAGTACAAATGAGAGACAAAAAACATCTGTCTGTCTGTTTGTCTGTCTGTCTATATACAGTTGCAATCAAATTTATTCAAACCCCTTGACTTCCCAGACACTCTGCTGCCATGAACAAAATTTGATGAAAAACTTTAAACCACAGCATCTAGCTATTATAGAAAGTTTATTAATATACATCTATCTTTCTATCTATCTATCTATCTATCTATCTATCTACCTATCTATCTATGTCTATAATCACGTTTGGAAAGGTTTGAGGGTGCGTTTCATTTCTGGTCAAACTATTCCCTTTATCGTTAGACATTGTGTGTGTTACACTCACTGTATGTCTGCGAGGACACAGGAACAAGATGGAGAAATGTGTGCTGCTCTGCTAAAAGAAAGAACAATTTACATGAGATATGTTTAAAAAAATGTGTGTTTGTGTGTAAGACAGACAATGAAAGAAGTTTCTCACTTTCACGTCTCTTTCTCTGTTTCCTTTGTTTTGACACATCTCTCTTGTCTCGGCCCTCTGCATGTGTCCGTCTCTCAGGGAATCTGTGATAACAGCTTACCTTATAACAAGATGTAGCCTATGGGAAATTAGACATCATCACACACTAAAGCTCACCGATTTTGCTTTGGACATCAGCAGGCAACCCAACATAGCTGTTACTTTGTACTAAAGTAAAACAAAATTGTCAAAAATATCACACTGTACAACCAAAAGTGTGTAGACAACACCCCATTCTAATAAAGAGTTCATTAATGGGTTTGGCAATGCCAGTAATTCCTGTGAAAACACTGTCATCCGGAAATAGAACCCTGCTGGACTCTTCCCAAGCTATTGCAACAGAGCAAAAAATACAATTCTGGGTCATTGTCTTCAGAGACATTACTGGAAAAGCCCAACCCATTTGACGGAGGCTGTGCACATACCTTTGTCAAACTACCATGAACTGCACAGGCCCTACAATATGCCAAATTACTTACTTGAGATCTTACAGTCTTAATAATTTGGTTATTTGGTTGCATACTTTTGACAGACAATAATCACTACACAAAACATTTTTGTCAGCACAAACATTCTCCTAATGAAGCTGTATTTAATCTTGTTTGGGTCATCGTATTTGCGTTGCACAGTTTTCTTCATTGTTATCCCGTCCCTGTTAAAACTGATATATTTAATATCCCACTTGCCATACATGATTAGGGTTAGTTGAATTTTATTACTTGCATTTAGCATTATTTACTTGACCTGAAAGTCATGATTTTGATGATTAGAGGTTTGATCCCAAGCTGATGAAGTGTCTTTCACATGTTGCTGCAGAAAACACATCAAGAACAAGCTAAATTCACTTTAACAGTGTCCGATGAATGACTACCAGGGAGGATATTGAGAAAATTACAACTTAAACTTTTGAATAAAATGCTATTGCTTGAACACTAAAGTTGATTGGTAAGCATAGTCCGTTCTGACTAACTATTTGGTTCATGCATTGTGAGCCGAAGGCAGTCACCAGTTCTCCACAGATGAGGAAGTGAAATCAGTTGCACAATTAATGCCATAGTACCATGGTACCACTCTTATTATTATTACTATTTTTAATTTTACCATGGTATAACCATTCATATACCATAGTGATGGTACTTCAAGGTGCTTTAAAAATACTATGGTGTACATAACAATGGTAATACCACTGTACTTTGATATATACCAAAGCACTGAATAATTATCATATTTAGGCTATATTTAGATTATACTCTCCAGAGAATACTTTAGAATAATCAGGATAGAAGTGCAGAAAACAGGGCATTAGTAGAATTGGTTGGTGAAGCAACAGACGAATAACGTTAATCAGTAAAAACAGAACAAAAGCACTCACCTACCCCGTAGCACACGGCGGAATCACAGCATATCCCACCTTCCTTCACCGCTGTATCCAGAGGCCTGAACCGCCGCGTTATTTCAGCCATTTCAGACCTGAGCATCCAAATGTAGGTCCACTGCATATACATCACACCCACACAGGTGCAGGCGACAGTACATACAAGAAACCGCTTCAGCGCTTCCACCTTCACCTTCCAAGCAGAAGCAGGAATGTTGTGATTGTTCATTATAGCCTGAACGTTGATATGATGGGACAGAATAGTTTAGAATGCGGAAAATAGCGGTAATATTTCCGTTCTCAATTTTGATCAGTTAACTTTCGGTTTCACAACTTTCATCAGAAAGAGGAGGGAGTGGAAAAGAAAAAATATTCGGTCAACACGTGGTCGTCCCATTCCCTAATGGAAATGCTGTATTAAGTTCTAACCAATAAAAATCCCAAACGAGATTCCAGTGAATATACAGGGATTCTGAGAAAATAATGAAGTTAAATCAGCTGTAATATAGGGAGTTTGTAAATCCTTAATTAATCCGCATGTTGAAAAAAAATTGAGCACTTTATTTTACAGTTCTTTTCCGCATGTAGCCTACGTACTTATTATAATAATTGCAATAAATAACCTAACGTAGCCTACCCCTAAACCTAACCTAGCCCATGTAGTTATTACTACTTTTTTAGGTAAGCATACTGTAAGTACACATAAGTGCATTTACTGTAAAATAAAGTGAAACCAAATGTTTCTATTCATGTAATATACTTTAAAACAGGTAAACACAATTGTACTGCATAATTTATGCACCATTACCATGGTAAGGGTTAGTAATGCTATAGGTACAAACAAAATTGTAAAAAGGTAGCCTAGAAGTATACAAAAAAAGAAATGGGTTCAGTTTTATTTTATTATTTACTGTTTCTTTTTACCTGTTTGATCAAGCAGATTCAAATTCATACAGACAATAATGAATGCCAATACAGTAAACATGTATTTCCATTCATATACATTTCATCTGCAAATGACTAAGCAGAACTGAACTTTGGTCAGGTCCTGAGAGTCTTTTCTTTTTTAAGATTGATAAGCCAAGCATCACACACTTGAAATGTTATACCAATTGTCTGGCATTAACGCTAAACACTAAAACATTTGCAACCATGAAAAGCAATTACAATTACATATAAAACTGCATTAAGACCTAACAACAGTAGATATTAAGAGGGAAACAAATCGTAGAATCATAGGCCAACATGGCGCAAACTGCAGAAACTAGTAAAAAAGTGACATCGTATCGTCATTGCTCCCGAGGATCCTATCAGATGTCCCAGAATTCACTGCGGCACACACATTATCGGCCATCAAGAGCGATCTATGGGCTGTTCCCGAAACAAACGCCATCATGGGGTTCCCTCCTGGAGCAAGGTCATGAAACTGCTCATATTCTGTAAATGAGCACTGTAGAAGAAGAAGAAAAAAAATCACAAAATATAATTTCAGATTAAACCAAAAGATTTCTTCTTTTCATCAATTAAATGCTACCAGAAGAGTCGGTGAGGGAGCAGCTTCATAAGGCATTGTCATGGTCACATCAGGACTGTCCATTAGCATAGCACTGAAGCTCACACCAGCTGCAGGACCGAGAAGCTGCTCATCTCCACCCTCAGGTGAGCCGCTGCTGTCCTCTGGCCTGGGCACAGCTGTGGCACCCCACCATTTGTCCCCCTTCAGCCTGCAATATTGCAAAATAGACTCATTTGATACATATTTGTTCATTCGTAACATGCCTTTCCTCCCACAATCCTTCTCTCTCTCACTCATTTATATGGCGCTGTTTCATCCTGAGTTCTCCTATATGTTGCAGAACGCTTGGTGTGTGTTTCTGTAGTCTGTGATATCTTCTCATTCTACTCATCAGCTGTGAAGGATGCGGCAGATTCTCATGAGTCAGGCTGCTCACTCTTTTATGTCTGCTCACCTGAAAAAATGAGTTGACTGATGTGACAGTACCATAACAAAGTGTTGGAAATACAATTCTAGAGTACTCTAAGACAGTGAATCTCAACCTTTTGGCGTACCGGACCCCAGTCCAATTCAGAACCATCCTCAAGGACCCCCAGAACAAAATTGACTCGTATCATTTGTGTCTTTGTGAGGACCAAATGCAGTCAAGTATAATTCAAGTTAGCTGACTTGTCCAGTATTTGGCCATATCATCAGCTTTATTGGATTTTTCTTTCATGCGAACATGTCATGTCAAAATATACAACATTTATACAAAAATTCATACTTTATACGGACCCCCTGGCCTTATGTCAAGGACCACTAGGGGTCCACGGACCCCTGGTTGAGAAACACTGCTCTAAGATACTAGTTAGTAGTGTAATATATTACATGACACATTTTAGGTAATATAATCGGACTCCTTTTTGATCACTTAGATACCTTTCAATTATAATTGTTTTTAAATAACTTTTGATGTTTATCATTTGAAGAGGATAGCCTAATACTGATATAAAAATACAAAGAGAATGAAAAAAATTCCATTCGTTGTTAGCGACAGTATGAAGTGCATTAAACATTTCATTACTTCAGAGTTTTCCAATCTAGGGTTCATCAAGGAACTGAAGGGGAATGTGAGTTTATGAAGAGCTAATAATGAAACCATAAAAATGATCAATTAAAATAAATGAATAATTTTAAAATAAAACAATAACACAAATAAAACACTTGAATCATATGCAAATGTGTTGTTCAATTGTTTACTTTTTATATTGCTATAAAAACTAAACTTTATTTTATTGTTTCGGCTGACAAAAATGTTTTGAAATCACTGCATTTCATATTAATATGAAATGATGTGAATGTGTGTATTTTAACGTGTTCAATAGACAAAAGTATTTCTAAGACTCAGTTAGGGCTGGACGATATGGCCAAAATTTAGATCACGATATATTTCTTAATTTCGGTCGATACGATATAATTCCGATATCGATATGAACACTATTAAAAAAGCCTCATAAAAACGGCCAAGAACGGCCACAACAGATGTCTGTACCTACAAACTTATGAAAAATTAATTTGCCAACTCTATGAAACCTACTCCTACAAAACTATATAATATTTTAGGAAAAAAATGGCGCAAATAAATAAATGTTCACCTTTTATTGGTATTTAGCCTTCATACAAACAAGAAATGTGAAATCACTGTCAAATAAATCTCAGACTCTCCTTATTAATATTAATATTTTTTTACTTCAAACTATAGGCTAACATACCACTCAAAAGTTTTTGAACAGTAAGATTTTTAATGTTTTTTAAAGAATTCTCTTCTGCTCACCAAGCCTGCATTTATTTGATCCAAAATACAGCAAAAACAGTAACATTTTGAAATATTTTTACTATTTAAAATAACTGTTTTCTATGTGAATATGTGTTAAAATGTAATTTATTTCTGTGATGCGCAGCTGTATTTTCAGCATCATTACTCCAGTCTTCAGTGCGATCTATGGGCTGTTCCCGAAACAAACGCCATCATGGGGTTCCCTCCTGGAGCAAGGTCATGAAACTGCTCATATTCTGTAAATGAGCACTGTAGAAGAAGAAGAAAAAAAATCACAAAATATAATTTCAGATTAAACCAAAAGATTTCTTCTTTTCATCAATTAAATGCTACCAGAAGAGTCGGTGAGGGAGCAGCTTCATAAGGCATTGTCATGGTCACATCAGGACTGTCCATTAGCATAGCACTGAAGCTCACACCAGCTGCAGGACCGAGAAGCTGCTCATCTCCACCCTCAGGTGAGCCGCTGCTGTCCTCTGGCCTGGGCACAGCTGTGGCACCCCACCATTTGTCCCCCTTCAGCCTGCAATATTGCAAAATAGACTCATTTGATACATATTTGTTCATTCGTAACATGCCTTTCCTCCCACAATCCTTCTCTCTCTCACTCATTTATATGGCGCTGTTTCATCCTGAGTTCTCCTATATGTTGCAGAACGCTTGGTGTGTGTTTCTGTAGTCTGTGATATCTTCTCATTCTACTCATCAGCTGTGAAGGATGCGGCAGATTCTCATGAGTCAGGCTGCTCACTCTTTTATGTCTGCTCACCTGAAAAAATGAGTTGACTGATGTGACAGTACCATAACAAAGTGTTGGAAATACAATTCTAGAGTACTCTAAGACAGTGAATCTCAACCTTTTGGCGTACCGGACCCCAGTCCAATTCAGAACCATCCTCAAGGACCCCCAGAACAAAATTGACTCGTATCATTTGTGTCTTTGTGAGGACCAAATGCAGTCAAGTATAATTCAAGTTAGCTGACTTGTCCAGTATTTGGCCATATCATCAGCTTTATTGGATTTTTCTTTCATGCGAACATGTCATGTCAAAATATACAACATTTATACAAAAATTCATACTTTATACGGACCCCCTGGCCTTATGTCAAGGACCACTAGGGGTCCACGGACCCCTGGTTGAGAAACACTGCTCTAAGATACTAGTTAGTAGTGTAATATATTACATGACACATTTTAGGTAATATAATCGGACTCCTTTTTGATCACTTAGATACCTTTCAATTATAATTGTTTTTAAATAACTTTTGATGTTTATCATTTGAAGAGGATAGCCTAATACTGATATAAAAATACAAAGAGAATGAAAAAAATTCCATTCGTTGTTAGCGACAGTATGAAGTGCATTAAACATTTCATTACTTCAGAGTTTTCCAATCTAGGGTTCATCAAGGAACTGAAGGGGTTTGTGAGTTTATGAAGAGCTAATAATGAAACCATAAAAATGATCAATTAAAATAAATGAATAATTTTAAAATAAAACAATAACACAAATAAAACACTTGAATCATATGCAAATGTGTTGTTCAATTGTTTACTTTTTATATTGCTATAAAAACTAAACTTTATTTTATTGTTTCGGCTGACAAAAATGTTTTGAAATCACTGCATTTCATATTAATATGAAATGATGTGAATGTGTGTATTTTAACGTGTTCAATAGACAAAAGTATTTCTAAGACTCAGTTAGGGCTGGACGATATGGCCAAAATTTAGATCACGATATATTTCTTAATTTCGGTCGATACGATATAATTCCGATATCGATATGAACACTATTAAAAAAGCCTCATAAAAACGGCCAAGAACGGCCACAACAGATGTCTGTACCTACAAACTTATGAAAAATTAATTTGCCAACTCTATGAAACCTACATATCGCGATACATATTGATATTGAATTATTGTCCAGCCCTAGACTCAGTATTACATTGTTAAATGACTGAGTGAAAATTCAAATAATAATTAATGAATGTGTTTGAACTATGAGTTAATTAGAGATGCAATGTTGCAATGTTGAGAAAACACTCTTTAAATGTGAAATTATTTCTGTAAATCCGGTGGTCAAATTGTGTGTGGTCACCTGACTAAAGGCAGGCCTGTGTGTGCAATTCCACAAATCTAGACTTCTGAATGCATATCACATGTATTTAAGTAAATTAATCATAAATTAAAAAAAATAAAAAAGTCTACATTTAGTTACTCACCATCCCAACAGGTGAACTGGAGTACAGGGCTGAAGCAAGAAAGGGTTCATATGTGAACAAGTCCTCGCTGCCAACAAACATACAAACACAGTCAGCTTCAGAGTGTCCTGAAGTACTTTCAAAATCATTTGCATAGGGACATGGCTATTAAATTAACAATTTTACCATGATATTGGCACAGCTGTCTTCCAGAAAGTCTCGCCATATTGTGGCTGCACAGGTAACACAGTCTCCTCATTGAAACGAGTCACTTCCTTTGATCGCCTGTAGATGGCACAACAACATTACTATACCCATAAATGACAGTAGACCATAGAGAAACATATGAAAATAGAAAACATGCTTTAATTTTGAACATACTGACAGAAACTCTTACTTTGCGAAAGGCGGAAACAGGTCAAAATCATCCGTTTCAGTTTGTGATGACAGATAGTTCGTGGTCCACATTTCTTTTAGCCATATAGCTAAGCAGTTAGTTCAACTTATATTTACTTGTTTGTTATATATTGGCAATATTTTAAGACTAAAATAGGTTAGCTCATATATTAACAAGAGACTTAGTATATTTAGACATAAAATGGTTTGAAAATGTTATGTATAAATGTACAATAACAGAATTTTAAAAGCGCTTTACACTGTTAGATTTTTGAGAAGTTTTCGCGCCACTGGCATGACTGCGCGTGAAAGTGTAGAAACAGCATTCGGTGGTCTCTCTCTCTCTCTCTCTCTATATATATATATATATAATTCGGTGTTTGTTGTTATTGTTATTATTTTACTGAAATTCAGTAAAAATTCAAATACATTTCAGTGTATACGTGAGGCCTTTTTTCACCCAAATTACGAAATAAATTAAACGATCTTTTTAACTGTTTTACTATAGTAACTATTTTGTTAATAAAATCATCATGAGCAAAATATGTATTTATTTATTTATTTGGAAAGAAAGAAAGAAAGAAAGAAAGAAAGAAAGCAAGCAAGCAAGCAAGCTGTAGCGGACGAACAGGACTTTTAACTGCTCTGTAAGTCTGCTCGCGTCATGCTCTGGTCTTTGGGAAGAGTGACGGCAGGGCTCAAAACTTTCACATACCGGCGACTGTTTAATTCGCCCGTCTTCATTCAGTAAGATCTGTCAGTGTTCTGAGGAGTGTAAAATATCTTTGTTATCATTCACAATAGGGTTGGTTTTGTTTGACGAGAACGCCTCTCCTGATTTTAACGCTTTTTCTGTTTGAAGTGAGGAGATTTGGGATAGCCACAAGTTAAATGGACGCATGCGGATCACGTTTATGTATGTGAGTGTGTGACAAACAACTTTTCAGCGCAGGGAAGAAAAACGAAGAATGAACTTTCTGCTCGTTTTTGACGCGTTTGTTGTATTTGGGGTTTGTGCGTGCGAATTCCAGTGAACGGAAAAACTTCCACCCAACTTTTCCTGCTGTTGGTCGTCGTGTGATCCAGCAGGTGGGGAAACACGAGCCGCTGTTTCATCAGGGAAAAGAACACAGGAACCGGATTTAAAATAAACCCGTTTTCTTCTGAAACTCCCACTGGATTTAATTTTACGACTTGGTGACTGGAATAACCAACTATCCAGAACTAGTAAGTGGAACAAATCCCTCTACTTCAACCCCACGTAACTTGCACATTCAATCACTGCGTATAAGAACATCACGTTAGTTATAAAAACATCTTAAAGGAATGACAATGAAATTATTATCCTAAAATAGAACAAATCGTAATGGGGTCACTTCTAAGAACCAAATAAGATCCTACTAGTACACTAATAATACTTTTTTTTTTCTTTCATTTTTTCAGTTTGTTTTTAAAATTTAAATATAACCAGTAAGATTTTTTTTGGTTTATCCAGTAAGATTCCATAGAAATGAGTTCTAAATGAGCTTACGTCAGACGATCCCTTCAAGATATTTTGACAGTTGATTTGAAATCTGTTGTTACCTAATATATACAGAAACCTGTATATTTAGAAACCTTTTGTGACTGTTCATGGCCATTTTACCTAGTTGGGAACACAGCTCCGTTTTAAGCCAGTTTCACTTTGTCTAAAATGTGTAAAGGAATGTGTACATGACTCATCTTAGAATAAGATCTTTCTGGATAAGATGAAATTCCTGCAGGATTTTTCTTCTTACTCAAGCTTTTGATTAATTTTAATATCCTACAGGGGCGTTTAATAATTTTAGGGGTCATAATAGTTGAATTGTGAGCTGTTTTATAAAATATCTAGTTTGTGTTTGACAAATATATTGGAGCCATATAAGAGAATTGTCTCTGAATTATTAAGTCAGATGATATGTGGCTTCCTGAATTCAGAAATAAACCTGCTTCAGGTGTCTGGAGAACATGAGTTAGTTTGATTCATGCTTTTGCCTCCCAGCACTGCTTGATTGATTTGACAGCGTACAGATAATGGTATTCCCTTTGTGTTTTGGACATGATATCATAGTAATGCCATTGTTTTTGGACTTCCACCATAGTTATGCTATGCTTTTTGGTACATGCTATTCCTTGAAGTGCCATGTAAATAGAGTTGTAATATTCAGAAACCTGGTATCTCTGTACCATGTTACTTACCACCACAGTACTTTCTGTAAGGGAGGATTGTTTTCATGACTGTGTCCATGAAATCGCTGAGGTTACGAGAGGGAAATAATATTTTCTTATCTCAGTTCCGGTTCAGGTGTATTGATACACTTTATTTAACCTAGAATATATTTGTGTATCTCTCTCTCTCTTTTATTAACTGTGTGTAACATGTTATGTCTGGCTTGCTAGATGATCTATTTGAACTCTCAGCCTTGTCTCTGGCACTTTAATTGAAAACTGCAGCTGCTTGTTTTTAGGGACTTTATTACAGGACACGTCACACACACACACTTAATGACAGACCAACATTCCTCAGGCTCCGAAAGGTATGCTGTCTCTGTCTTTCTCATTTTAGCTGTCCATCTCTCTCCGTTTTATTCTTTCTCACAAGGCTCATGTTCAAACAGAATCTGGCCAAAAGTTAATTATATAAGTTGTTCAGTCTGTAACGTGGCATAGTTTAGTCCTTACGTACATGGTTTAGAGAAAATGTTTAGGAACAAACTTAGAGGTGCATGATTTGGGGGGAAAAAAATTAAGATGTTTTTTTTTGTTTGTTTTGTTTTTCAGATAAAGATTATGATTTTGGTTTGCTGTGCTTGTTTGTAGTCTGCACAGTTTGGCTAAATGTTGTGATTACTTAAATATGATTATATAATAATAATAATAATAAATAATAATACTCATATTATTATGATTATTATTACTGATAAATAAAATTATTAAGCAAGATAAGAAATATTATGATTGTAATAATCCACTGTGAAATAAACAAATTGAACATTTAAGAAAAACATATTTATTTTATTTTACAGTACAACTCACAATAGTACTTATAACTTTCTTAATTTCTTCATTTTCAAATGTTAAAATATCAAGCTTTCATTTTGGTGCAAAACCAGCATTTACTGCAAATCGAGTCGCTTCAAGACACTGAAAAACACTGGAACACAATATAAATGAATGTAAACACGCAGTGTTTGTTAAATTAAATCATAGCTTTTGCGATGTAATCACATTAAGCTGTTTTGTGATTTTTGCTTTTATTTTGGTTAAAGCTGCATACAGTCCATAACTTTTTTTTTTATTAAAAATGATCCAAAATACATTTTTGAGCAAGTACATAACCAGCCAGTGTTCAAAACTATCTCCTTACCTTAGCCTGATTCACGGTTAGCTTATAATAATGTTTTGTAATTTGAGTGGTACTGGTGGGAATTCGCGGGAAATTGGAGCATGCTGCTGCGTCATAACGTGTCTAAACATAAAGAATTTGTCCCGGCTAGTAGGCTATATTGCATGCAAGGATGCTGCAGGTGGCGGATCGTTTATAGCCTTTTCTGACAGTAGCTGGAATAATTAAAGGGGTGGTTCATTGCGATTTCACTTTTTTAATGTTAGTTAGTGTCTAATGTTGCTGTTTGAGCATAAACAATATCTGCAAAGTTACGAAGCTGAAAGTTCAATGCAAACGGAGATATCATCTTTTAAAATTCTGGCAGTTTAATGCCTACAAAAACGGCTGGTAGGGACTACAACGAGCTACTTCCCGGGTTCGTGACATCACAAACCCAGATAAACCCCGCCCTCAG